GGCCAGAACTTCTGTGGGTTTCCTCTGCAGTTCCGGGAGTGCCAACGGCCTGAAGTGGCAAAACGAGAACCCAGAAATCAGCCAGGACCTTCTAAGGTTTGCCTCAAGTCAGGCTGGTATCCCGTGAGCTCCAAGAATCAGCGCTGGAACTGTAGCGCTGAAGCCTGGAGAGGGTGAAGGGCAGGAGATTGGAGCGGGTTGCTGGGGGCGGGGGAAGGGAGCAGCCCTGAGAGCAGGACCAGAGACACGTGAGGGGAGGGATGCTCCCTAATAGCCCCGCGGAGGCTTTTCAGACTCCGCAGCGGGCTCCGCGGGGCTCCATTGTCCGAGCTGACACAGGGTTGCACAGGGCAGGCCCCGCCGGCCCCACCTCCCCAGCCTTTGCTGTCACGGTCACAGCGGGGGGCCGGGCAGCCCACTAATTAGAGCTCCGCTGGCCACACCTGCAGTGCTAGGAGGGGGCGCCCGGGCGGGTGAGGCCGGATGGGGGCAAGCTGGGGGCAAGCAGGGCCGCACTTCAGACCTCCTGCCCGGGACCTGGGATTAGTGCACGCGAGGGCGGGGCTGGGGGGCGGGGCGCAGAGTCCGGGACACGGGCCACCGCCCTCACCCCCAGTCACCCGCCCTGTGCCTTTCCCAGAGGGAAGGAAGAAACCGAGGCCGTCAGGGCCGCCGCCTCCCGCCCCGTCCAGCCCGTCCGACCCTCTGCAGCGCTGCTCTGTCGCCCTCTCCCTGCACCCCTTTCTGCTCAGCACCTGCTTAAGGATCTTCCTCCTCAACCTTTCCTCCTGCTGCCTTCAGCCCCCACCTCCCGCTTGGCCATGCCCCCTCGAGTCCTCGGTCTGCTTTGCCCACCTCTCCTGGGCTCACCCACCCACCACCCCGCAGAAGGAACCCGGGTCTGGAAGAAACTGGCCCTGGGTCCAGTCCCTCCACACTCCACCCCACCCTGACTTTCAGGGTTTTTCAGATGTCTGGGGAGGAAGCGGGAAGAGACAGAGATACAGAGACAGATGAGGGTCTCCAGGAAGCTGAGGGCACCCACTGTGGCAAAGTGGCTAAACCGGCCCTGCCAGGCCCCCGGGAACCAGCTCAGGTGCCTGGGAAGGGGGAAGTTGGGACCGGAGGAATCCAGCCTGCCCGCCTTGGGGGAGGATCTTGGCCACCCTGGCCCCTGGGTGCCCCTCCCCAAAGCAAAGGCTCCCCTGCTTCCTCTGGGGCCAGCAGTGGCTATAAATCTGAGGGGGACCTGGAACCTCCACACCAGGATGGACCGGCACAGCCTGGCTGGGCCTGCCAGCGCCATGGACCCAGCCCCCTCGCCTGTTGACCGTAAACAGTGGGCCCCTGGGAGTGGGTCACAGGCTCTCCGGGAGGCACATTCCAGGGAGGGGCAGAAGGGGAGCAGCCTCAGACCCCCACCCCATCCCCAACTGCTCTCCTGCGCCGGGCAGCTTCAGCTGGATGAGAGACCTGCCTCTCTCAGCCTAGGCAGTAACTAAGCAGGGGCTCGGTTCCTGGGAGTTTCTGGTTCTGGAGGACCCCAGCTTGGAGAGGAGAGCCCAGCCCTCCCCAGAACAGGGCCCTGATGAGTGCAGCATACAGAGCTCGGGGGCTGCCCCCACCTGGGGGCCTGCCCACCCAACCTTGCCCTCTGAGCAGCTGCTGGTGAGGCTCAGGACTGGTCCAGCTCTGCTGTTTTATTCCAGTGAGCTGGGCCCGGGAGAACCTGAAAACCAGGAATTCTGAAGAACCGGTCCTGTCCTTGGTTGAGGAGAGGAGGGAGAGGGGCACCCCTGCAAGACCGCCATTCCCACCCCTGCTGATGCCTGCTGGGGTACATGCCTGCAAGGGGGCTGGCGTAGAGACCCCTGATGTGCCCCAACTCTTCCCATATGAAGGTGATGTCACCCAGGCACTCCCCATGAGAATGTAAGCCCCCTTATAAACACACCGTCACATACACACTCAAGACACTATCACATACACAGTCACACACTCAGACACACACTGTCACATACACCTGTGGACATACACACTAACCACCACCTATACACTCAGACACGCTGTCACGTCCACATACAGCATACACAGTCACACACTCAGACACAGTCACACTGACACAGGCTATCATATACACACTCTGGCACAAAATGTCACATACACAGTCATACTCAGAACACACACAGACACTCTCAATGTCAAGGAATCACAAAGGCACAGTCGTTGTGACTTACACTCCTGGGTGTGGTAGCTTGCACACACTCACCCTTTCTTAGCCCGGTAGACACAGACACCCTCTCCCCAGAAGACACACCTGACAGACACCCACAAGCAGGACTGGGTGTCCCTATTTCTCTGCATCTAGTAGTTCACTGCCAGCTACATTCCCCAAACACTTGGCCCTGCGTTTCTTCACATGAAATGTCCTGGTGTGCAATTGGGTGCACACACATGCACACACACACACACACGTGCACACTGTTGGGACCACTAGACTTCAGGAGTGGGCTGCTCACACATACACACACACGCTCAGGAGTACTCTACACACACACTTGAGAGTACTCTAGACTCTGTAGGAGCGCTGCTACAGGCGCACACACACACACACACACACACACACACACATACTTAGGAGCACTTAGACTCTGCAGGAGCACTGCTGACAAGAAGTTCTGCTGCTCCCTCGGTAGCAACTTGGGCTGCCCACCCCCCACTCCAGCTGCAGAGTGTCCCAGAGTCCAGGCAGCCCACGGCACCCCTCTCTGAGGCGTCTGCATGCCCAAACCCGTACTCACTGACACGGGGGTGGGTGATGTAGTTGCGGGTGACTGCCTGCACGTGTTCCTGGGCAGCGGCCTGGTCACAGTCAGGGAGCCCCCGAGGCCTGTGGTCTACCTGGGCGGCCATGGTGGCACAGCAGGAAGGACGGACGAGAAGCCAAGGCCGAGCTGGTGGCAGCAGCACCTCAGGCCCAGCTGGAGCTGGCTGGAGCCGCCTTCCTCCTCCTTCCTCTGGGCTTGGGTCTGAACTGCACAGGGAAGCCCAGGGCTCTGGAGAGCTTCCAGGTCTGGGAGGGGCCCATGTACCTCTCCTGGGAGGCGGAGGTGGGTGGGAGGGAGGAGGGGCAGAGGGGAGAGGCTGGTTCTCACTGCCTTCTGGGTGGTTCCTGCCAGCACACTGTGGGCTCAGCCCTCCACCCTGCACTCAGGGGCGGCCTTCAGGAGCCGAGCCTGTGTCCCCTCCACCGAACTGGGCCCCATCAGCCGACAGCTTCCTGTCCCGTGGACAGCACCCTGAGAGGGGAACAGGTGTCTCTCCACCTGAACCATGGCCCTGGGGCACAGCCTCCCCTGAATTTTCAGGCAGAAAACACAAGTGAAGGAGCCCTCTTCCTCCGTGGCGGGACGGGACTCACGTCCAGTGACTGCCCACCATCTGCCTGGGCACCCACATCTCCTTGCAAGCATCTCTCCAAGCTATCCAACCTGAGCCCAGGAGGGGAGGAGCATGGGCCTCACATGGCCCAGGACAGCCAGTTTGAAACTGAATATGTTTCCTGGAGCAGGACAGCCCGTCTGAAACCAAATACACTCCCCAGAGCCACCCACCTCGCCTCTGCACCCCACGGGGAAGAAATCTCACCCTGCATCCTCCAGCCTGAGAAGCACCTCAGGCCTGGGGGAGCCCCATGCACAGCATCCGGGAGAGAGCTCTGCGGGACCAGCAGTCAGCTACCACTCTTGGGGGTTGTAGGACTTCCAAGCAGTGCTCAGGGAATACCCACAACACTTAGTCAACCGCAGGGAGAAAGGATCTATGCTTCAGCCCACGAAAGCAGGCCACGAAAGCCACAACCGGAAGCACTTGGTGCCCCGTGGTGCCAAGACTCGAACTCGGGACTGAATGCACGCAGGCACCATTGCCGCCCCTGGAGCTATCGCTTCACGGAACCTGGGGTCTCACAGATAGGAAATGCATGTGTTCTGTCCCAACGCCACATCCTCGCCCCCCAGTTCTGTCCTGGTGGGGCTTCTATACATCTCAGGGTAGTGAAATAACCAGAATTGCACCCAGCCCCTCTTGCCTTCACGTTACAGGCATTACCCAAGAGGCGACGTCCGGGGAAACTGGGTACCAGCTCTGAGGAACTCTCCAGACTCACTCCAGACAGCAACTTCCTATTTTATTTTAATTTAACTTTGTTTATTTATTTATTTATTTATTTTTGGAGAGGGGTGTGACACCCGGCTGTGCTCAGGGCGACTCCTGGCTCTGTGCTCACGAGTGACCCCTTGAGGTGCTGGGGATCCAGAAGTGATGCCATGGATTTGAACTGGGTCAGAGGGAGGCCAACCTGCACCCCTGTACTGGCCCTCCCTCTGGCAGCAGCTTCTTATACATCTGCCAGGACGGCAGGAGACAAAATGAAATCACTGCCTTACTTGACCCTTGGAGAACTGCGCTGTGGGGCAGCATTGGTGAGGGGACCCCTCTATGCGGGAGCTCGGCTGAGTCCCCTCTGTTGCTGGGAGCCCCCTATCACCCTCTGGGGGAGAACAGTCCCCCCCGCCTCAGGTATTTCTGGCTGGGAACAAGCCTGCAGGGGCCCCTCCCTGGGGACCAAGTACAGCTGTGGTTTGGCTCTGACCCAGGGGGAATTGGGGGGCTTGGCCACCTCTGTCACCCCTATGAGCCTGGTCCCAGTTGCTGCCTCTCCATCATTAGTCCTTCCCCTGAGTATGTCGAGGAGGAGACTACAGGGAGGGGGCTTAGGGGTGGGAGGGACCCCTTTGTCTCCCTTCTTGTCACTGCTTCCTTTTTTTTTCTGAAATTGGCCCAGGCAGCCACCTGCTCAGGCACGCAAGTCTCTGAGCTGGGGCCGGGGTGGGGGGTGGAGGTGCAGGCCACCTCTGGGAGCCTGCTTAGGGGGCAGGGGGACAGAAAAGGGAGTGGACATGGTGTGCTCGGGGACCCAGTGTCGTGGGAGGGTGGGCTTAAGCACTGGCTTTCCTGCTGCCCCCGGGGCTGCCTTCTCTCCATTCCAGCCGGCTGTAGGGCTCGAAGGCAGAGGAACCAAGTCGGCAGCCACTGGACAGGTCCAGAAGGGGAGCAGCTGCCAGGCAGAGGGTGGACGGCAGGGGTGGCAGTGGAGGGGACGCCTTGGAAGAGGGCAGCGGGGTGAGGCACAGGGAGGAGTTCCTGGGGTCACCCCCAGGGGTGCCTGTGTGGCCAGAGGGCAGGCCGGGTGGGTCAGGGATCAGCGCCAGCAGGCTGGGGACCCTGGGCATGGACAGCAGGTGCCCCGGCTCCAGCAGCCGCAGGATACTGGACGTGGCGAAGGCCTTGGTGGCTGAGGACAATGTCCGCTTCTCCAGGTCTCGGCTCTGGTCTTTCTTCTGCTTGGTCCGGCGGTTCTGGAACCACACCTTCACCTGTGGGGTGGAGGGGTCAGCAGGCGAGAGCGGAAAGGAGAGGATAAAGGCAGAGGAAGGACATGGGGGTACAGGCAAGCATGAATGGAGTGAGAGGGGGCACAAGAACAAGTACCATCATTTGTCGTAGGGCAACCTTCCCACAGCAGCTGGCTCCGGGGGAACTGGCTGTCTTGGTCTCATTCCCGCTAACCACTCTGCCCAATGTCCTGCTGAAACTTCCATCAATGCCCCGAGGTTGGGCAGCTCCTTTCTAGACCAAGCGTAAGAGGTTGTTGAGGCACCTTACAAGGGCTACGCTCTCTTGGAAAGGCAGGACAAACCGGTGCAAGCTTCTGCTCCCTGAAACAGGCCCCCCTCCCCAAAGAGACTTCAGGGCCTTAGGGAGCAGTAACTTCGAAGTAGGTAGTGCCATAGCACAGTGGGGAGGGTGTTTGCCTTGTACGCAGCCAACCCAGGTTCTACCCTCGACATCCCATATGGCTCCTGAGCACCGCCAGGAGTAATTCCTGAGTGTAGAGCCAGGAGGAACCCCTAAGCATCACTGGGTGGATGACCCAAAAAGCCAAAAAAAAAATTTAAAAAAATAAGTAGGTAGTGCAGACACAAAGGAGGAGCTGGTATGGAGGGGTGCCACTATCCCTAGATGTCAGGGCTGGAGGGCAGGCCCCCTCTCACTCCTGGGGTCAGCCAGGGCTCAGCTGCTTGGGGCCATGTGCTGGGTTGTCTGGAGACTCTGCAGCGACAGCTAGGAGAGATCCCCAGGAGATGGCTCAGGCCTGCAGGACAGGAGCTGCCCCCTTGGCTAGCCCAGCCTGGACTTAATTCAGTGGGTGCCCCAGTCTCCTTCCCTCCTCTGCCCTTCAGCACCCTGCTTGCTCAGGGGACCGCTGTTGGTACTGTACCCTCAGGCTATCTCCCCAGCCCCCTCCCCGCCGCCACCACTACAAGGAGATTCAAGGCAGGCTGGAGTTCACTCAGGCTCCAAGTCATCCATGTGAGATTCAAGGGCTGAGGTAGACTCTGCCATCTGGATCTGACCTCTGGAGCACACTAGCTCAGTGATCCTGGGCATAACCTTTCCTCAGAAAATGGGAAAATGCTGAGGAAGCTCTCTGAGCTTGAGGCAGAGAATTAGTGAGTCAACTGAGCCCTGTGGTTAGTACTGAGGGCGTGACGTATCTGCCTCGGTCCTTCTCCCAGTCTAAGTTGAAGGAAGCTTTCCTCTGGTTGAGGCATGCTATTGGGAAGAGGCAACACCCTTCCGGAGTGAAGGGGGGTTGCTCTGACCTCTCTTTGGCAGAGGTTTGGGGCATACTGGAAGAAGGGAAGGTGGTGGGGGTGTAAAAAGCCCAGAATGGGGAATGTGAAATCCTTACCCAGTTGGTATCTCTCCCCTCGCCGTTGAATGGTTGAATGTCCGTCCCCAAAAGTCTGCCTCTCTCCACCCCTCCCAGCAGTCAGTTCCCACACCAGCACCCCCATTCCCCACTGCCTGTACCTTGAGAAGTCCTCCTCTCTCTCTCTTGCCCTCTCCCTCTTTCTTTCCTAGTATCCCAACCAAAATATCTGATGAATATCCCTGCTTGCCCACTGTCCTCAGTTCTATACTGATGTGTTTCTACTTTATCTACCGCTAAAGCATTTCCCCGCTGCCTGGCTGAACTTCTCCTCCATAGGACCGTACACTCCATGGAATTCCCAGGTGCCCTGCGCACTCACCTGGGTCTCGGAGAGGTTCAGCTGGCGGGCGAGCTCGGTGCGCTCACGGCCCACCACATACTGACAGCGCTGGAACTCCATCTCCAGGCGATACAGCTGCTCCGCGGTGAAAGAGGTGCGGGTCCTCTTGGGCCGGTCCAGGTCCAGTCCCTTGGGCAGGACAATTTCCCGTATGGTTCCTTTGGCATCTGTAGGGACCACGATAGGAAGTGGGTTAGTTCTCTGACTACCAACAAGAATCTCCCTAGGAGGCAGTGTGAGCTAATGGAAAGCCTCCAGTCTCCATATGGCTCTGTGACTTCTGACAAGTTGCTCATCCTCTCTGGGTCTTCCTTAAGCATCTGATGCAGTAAGGGGGTGTGTGGTGCTTACTCATGCATGCATGGGTCAACATTGCCCACAGACCATCCTGATTCACAGGCCAGGTGGTATGGGCGTAGAGGACAGTCTAGGGTTCCTAAGAGGAGTCTGAGAACCACTGCCACCATGTAAAGTTGCTGGGTTCCTCCTAATGAAAAGCGCCTACCACTGCCCACATACTTAGCTCTGAACCACAGTGTCACGGTCCTGGGTCCTGAATGGATGCCCTTCATGGGCCAACTCCAAACTCTGGGACTGACTTAAGACAAGGGCTGGGGATATAGCATAGCATCAGAACACTTGCCTTGTATACATGAGTTTGATTATAAACACCAGATATTCCCACTTCAAGAACTCAGTAACAGCAACCAAGTGTTCAAAACTATACGTTATCCTGGGGCCAGAAAAATAGTACAGCAGGTAGGGCATTTGCCTTGCATGCAGCCAATCTGGGTTTGATCTCCAGCACCCCATCTGCTTTCCTGAGTCTACCAGGAATTATTTGTGTGCAGGGCCAGGAGTAAGCTCTGAGCACCACCAATTGTGGCCCCCAAACCGACAACAACAACGACAACAAAATATTGTACGTTATCCTGGTTTTGGATGTGGCTCAGATAGAGCACTTGCTTTGCATGTGACATTCTGGGATCAATCCCTGACACCATACACACACACACACACACACACACATCATCATCATCATCATCATCATCATCATCATCATCATCATCATTATCATCATCATCTCTAACTACTGTGCAAAGATGGTCCATATTGGGGCCACATATGTTGAGGCTCAGTGATTAAAGAATTTTGTGTGAGCCATTAGAGCATGGAAGTTGGCAGCACGGTGCCCTGTACTACTTAAGACCCCAGGGTGTATATCAATAACAGCAAAGCAAAAAGAACACTAATTTACCACTGCCAGGAAGAACAATGTCCCCGTACCCTACTATCTCAGAGCAGCTCTTCCCAAGTGGCCTGATCAAGGCACCTTCCACAGCATGAGTCTCAGCTGTACCCACCAGGTGTGCACTACTGGATCGGTGATGTGGCCAGGAGGCTGGGTGTTCTGGCTGCTCACGTCCTAGGGCTAGTAGATGACCCCTCTGTTCTTGCTCCAGGATGGCACAGTTTGAAGCACCTTAATCATCCTAATGCCTGATGATGTTGGAGCTCTAATCCCCATTGTAGCACTGTAGCACTGTCCTCCCATTGTTCATCGATTTGCTCAAGCGGGTACCAGTAACATCTTACAACAAATTGTGAGACTTGTTGTTACAGTTTTTGGCATATTGAATATGTCATGGGTAGCTTGCCAGGATTTGCCGTGGGGGTGAGATACTCTTTTTTAAAATTTTTATTAGTGAAACACCATGAGGTACAGTTGTGGACTTACGAATTTTTGTGCTTGGGTTTCAGTTATACAATGATTGAGTCCCTCCACCAGCGCCCATTCTCCAACACCACTAATCCCAGTATCCCTCCTACCCCCCCCCCCCCCATTCCACTCTGCCTCTGTGGCAGTGCACTCCCTTTTGTTCTCTCTCTCCTTTTGGGTGTTGTGGTCTGCAAAAGAGGCATTGAGTGGCAAACATGTTTAGTCCATAGTCTACTTTCAACATGCATCTCCCCTCCTGGGAGGATCCTCCAAACACCCTTTATTTGGTACTCCATTCTCTATCTGAGCTGCCTTTACCCCTAGAGTGTGTGGCTGGCCTCCAAGCCATAGAGTAAACCTCCTGGTATTTATCTCGGCTGCTCTTGGGTGTTAGTCTCCTATTTTGTTACTTTATGTTCCCCAGATGAATGCAATCTATGTCTATCCCTCTCTTTCTGACTCATTTCGCTCAGCATGATACTTTCCATGTAGTACCACTTGTATGTAAATTTCATGATTTCATCCTTTCTAACAGCTACATAGTACTCCATTGTGTAGATGTACCAAGGTTTCTTTAACCAGTCATCTGTTCTCGGGCACTCAGGTTTTTTTCCAGATTCTAGCTATTGTTAAACAGAGCTGCAATGTACAAACAAGTGCAGATGTCACTTCGACTATACTTTTTTGCCTCTCCGGGGCATATTCCCAGGAGTGGTATTACTGGGTCAAATGGGAGTTCAATTTCTAATTTTTTGAGAATTGTCTATACTGTTTTCCAAAAGGGCTGAACCAGTCAGCATTCCCACCAGCAGTGAAGGAGGGTCCCTTTCTCGCCACGTCCACGCCAGCACCGGTTGCTTTTGTTCTTTTGGATGTGGCAGGCTGAAAATTTTAAGTAACTTCTTGGAGGTCATACTGTGTTTAATAAATTTGAGAAATGGAGAGTGAGGGGGGAGGAAGGGGGAGAGAGAGAGAGAAAAAGAGAGAGAGAAGTACCATCATAGAGGCAGGCTGGGCGGTGGGAGGGAACCTGGAGACACTGGTGTTGGGAAATGTACACTGGTGGAGGGATGGGTGTTGTAACACTCTATGACTGAGACCTAATCATGAACAGTTTTATAAGGGTCTATGTCACAGTGATTCTATTAAAAAATCTTGGGGAAAAAAATCTCTAGAAATACCCTTTTTGGGCTGGAGCGATAGTATAGCGGGTAGGGTGTTTGCCTTGCATCCGCTGACCCGAGTTCAATTCCCATTATCTCATATGGTTCCCTGAGCACGGCCAGGAGTAATTCTGAGAGCAAAGCCAGGAGTAACCCCTGATCGCTGGGTGTGACCCACTATCATTGTATAGCACTGTTCTCCCATTGTTCATCGATTTGCTCGAGGGACCCAATAATGTCTCCATTGTAAGACTTGTTGTTACTGTTTTTGGCATATCGAATACATCATGTATAGCTTACCAGGCTTTGCTGTGCTGGTAGGATACTCTCAGTAGTTTGCCAGGCTCTCCAAGAGGGGCGGACGAATCGAATCTGGGTCAGCCACATGCAAGGCAAACGCCCTACCCCCTGTGCTATTGCTCCAGCTCAGCGGGTAGGGTGTGACCCAAAATGCAAAAAAAAATAATAAAAAGAAGTACCCTTGGGACTGGAGCAATAACACAGAGGGTAGGGCGTTTGCCTTGCACGTGGCCGACATGGGTTCGATTCCCAGTATCCCATATGGTCCCCCAAGCACCGCCAGGAGTGATTCCTGACTGCAGAGCCAGGAGTAACCCTTGAGCATCGGCTGGGTGTGACCCAAAAAGAAAAAAAAAGAAGTACCCTTATCTTACTTTTTCAAAACCCTTTTTATGTATTTTCTCATGATTCATTGATAGGTTGTAAGGAAAAGGGTTCTAGTCAGTGGTAGGAATGGATGCTTCTGGATGGGTCCATCAGTGCTGAAGATATGTAGGAAGACAGCTGAATTTGGAGTGAACAGCTTCTGAGTCACAGAACTGATGGACCTACTTTTGGAATCCCTGCTCAGTCCTAGAGGGTGATCCTGAAATCGTGCCTTCAAATCTTCCACTAGATGATGCTTTTCTCAATCTTGGATGAAATCAGGCCTGTGCTCAGCTGAGCTGCGGCTGATTGGAACAGAGACAATTCACACTCAGACCTCCAGGGTGCGCTCGAGCTCCTCAGAGGCTCCTGGCGCTTAAATCCTGCCCCTGATCCAAGAGGTTCCTGGTCACACTTTCCCTCTGGGGAGAAGGTGAGTGTAAGGGTGGGTGGGCGTGACTATTACTCAGAGGGGGTCTTTTATCCACCACCAGGCAGATCTTTCAAGGACGCTGGGCAGAACACGCCAGATAGTTGTGGGCTCTGCACCTCAAGTGTTGGTGTGGGCCATAGGCCTTGTGCCAAGCATCCCTCACTAAAACTTTGTTCGTTCCCCAGAGCCAGGACAGGATTTATGATTTCATGAAGACTGGCCTTTTTGGATCAAATCTCACACTTCCAATTGTTTAGCTGGAATCCCTCAGTCCACGAGTGTCAGAATGTTCTTACAATATTCACGTGTTGTTACGTGCCTTGAAGTCTGGGGCTGCAGGAGGGGTGGTGGATGTGGGGGAAGAGGGTCACACCCTGTCAGAAAGTTTCTAGGAGTCCACCTGAAACCCTGAGCCTGTGCTCATCACAGAGATAAGACCATGCACTTTTATTTTATTTTATTTTTGATTTTTGGGTCACACCTGGAATTGCACAGGGGTTACTCCTGGCTCTGCACTCACAGTTTACTCCTGGCGGTGCTCAGGGGACCATATGGGATGCTGAGAATCGAACCCAGGTTGGCCGCACGCAAGGCAAATGCCCTACCCTCTGTGCTATCTCTCCAGCCCCGCACTTTTATTTTTTTCAAAAGTGCACAGCTGGGTACGGCTCACCACTCCCCACAAAGAAAAAAACATCAGGCTCACCTGTCAGATAGCAAATGTGTCTTATCAGTCACTGCTGAAGGCACATTAGAACCATGAAATATGTCTCCAAATACAGCAAAAATAAAAACTACTGCAAATGCCTAAGGCCAATGGCAACATGGTGATACCAGATCTTTCATTCATTGCAAGTAAACGACAGATGATGCAACCAATCTGGAAGAGAGTTTGGCAGTTTCTTTCTTTTTTTTTTTTCTTTTTGGTTTTTGGGTCAAACTGGCAGTGCTCAGGAATTGTACTTGGCTTTTTTTTTTTTAAGATTTTTTTATTAGTGAAACACCATGAGGTACAGTTGTAGATTTACAATTTTGTGTGCTTGGGTTTCAGTTATACAATGATCGAATACCCACCCCTCCACCAGTGCCCATTCTCCCCCACCACCGATCCCATTATCCCTCCCACCCCCCATCCTCCCCATCCCACCCTGCCTCTGTGGCAGGGCATTCCCTTTTGTTCTCTCT